GCCCGGTTGGATCGAGCGCCGAGGAGAATAGCAAGGAAGAAGCAGCGCTGTATTTGATACCACATGCCCGATCGGGCAAGTCAAGCCCGGTCAGAACGGGCATAGTTATGCGATTTGCCGTTTTATTATTTTCTTATATTTACTTCATTAAGGGTTTAAATACCCATTGTATTTATCGTTAGGAAACAGATTATTATCTCCTTAAGTTTTATTTCTCTCTCTAGAACCCTAGTTTAATAATTTTTAGCAATTTAATTCCTAGGTTAGATTTGGGTATTGTTGATTAACAATTTGAGTAATTTCAATTGAAGCATCATTGGTATTCATCTCTATTCCTTTCTCTTTCAATTATTTTTGTTTTCAATTATGTTTTCCTTGATTATTATTGTTATTTCTTCTTTTAATATGTGTGAGTAGTTTTCTTATTCCAAGATCTAGGGTAGCCCAATTATGATTGATGCATGAATTAATTCTTTGAATTCTCTAATAACTATTGCAATTGTTATGCTAAATTGATTGTGATTCTGCCAATACTAGATTAGAGATAATTAGTATTGTTATTATTCCATAGTTTTAATCACAACGAGAGTTGGGTTTTAAAGGAATTGAGTAAATTAATTTAGGGTTTGAGATTCATCACGAGAGTAGTTGAATTGATAATTAGGAAGTAAAGTAAAGTGTTTAATGTCTCTAATTTGCATGATACCATGAGAATAAGCTTGATTGTAGGTTAGAGAAGCCATTGATACTCGAGAGAGGTCCTTGGTATTGATTAGGGTTTGTTTTTCCCCGTGTTAATTGGAATTGTATGTTCGGGGTAGATATATAATTGCATCGATCGTAATTGTGGTGATACTTGATCTTGTATGTTTTAGCTTATTGATTCATTATATTCTTTTGATTTATTCTAGTTTTCCATACTTTAGTTCTTATCTTATTCCATCATTGATTGATTTTTGCTTAGTGATTACTTGAGTCTAGATTGTTTAGGTGAACCTTAGTCTCTTGGGATTCGACCCTTACTTGCCCGACTACATAGTTAGGAGGAATAGTTAGGTTATTTTTGTTAGGTACGCGACATGCCTATCAATATGCGAAGCTGCGACTTAAAGTATGTGGTAAGTTCTGTGCAGTCTTATTTTTCAATCATTAACTCTTTCGAATTTCAATAATAATATATCAAATAATTATGTTAGGCTGAGTATAATTTTCACCTGAAGTATGTGGTAAATGTAAATTTGTGCAATTATGTGAGCCTATACTAGATATGTATGCAATTTTAATTACGATGATGGGAAATTTTTACTCTAAATTGCTGAAGTATATTCTTTGTTTTCTATGAAAACTAGCTGTGAATTGAGGCAACATTGTGTTTAGACCCCAAGAACTTGTTGAACAGAGGTAATAGGGACATTGAATAGCTTTGGTTTAATTGCATGTGAGTATGATAGATAATAGAGCTTGCAACTTGTACAAGGGTAGAAGTGAGCATAGGGTCATTCCCCAGCCCCAATCCCGACCTATCCCGACCTGGTGACACCCTAACCATGGATGGGAAATTTTCTACCTAGCTTACCTGTCCTAGCCCCAACTTGTACAAGGGTTGAACTTGTTGAATTTGAATTTACAGGGATAGCAGGGACATTAGAATACCACTTTTATTGTGTATTTAGTTAATTTTCTACCCATAAATTTATTTACTTTTTGTATTCGTTCTACTTACTTTTAATTTGAAAACCTTTACTTTACCCTCGTATACTTCTTAAGTGATTTTTTTTATACTTCATATTTAGTTTTTAGTTTTATTATTTACTCTTGAGATAATACTATTTACTACGTATTCCATTGCCACAACAAAGAAACCATACTCATTTATCGTTTCACACCATTGATTGCTTATATACTTTAGAGATATATTAATTTACATTTTATTTTGTTTTATATACTTTAAAGATAGTTTTATTCATTTTGAGATATATTAATTTACTTTTGACTTTTTTATAATGAATTACTTTTAAATTTCCTTAGAAGAGAGTGTGTTTTCTGCGTCTTCTAGTTATGATGATGGCTCGCCCATTAAAGTTGCAATGCCTCACTCACTTGATGTTAATCACATCATCACTATCAAGTTGATTTTTCACACTTGAACATGTGAAGATTGGCCCAAAAAATGATCGGGTTGAGTGATGCTGCTTTGCCAAGGCTGCTGCAGCTGCTATCCTGCCAAGGTTGTAGCTGCTACTGCTGCCCTACCATGGCTTGCTGCTGCTATGCTACTTTTGCCCTTCCATGGCTTTTTGCTGCTATGCTACTTCTGCTCTGCCGCCTGCTGCTGTAAATGTTGGTCGAGAGTACTTAGAGTTTAGCGAAACGGGAAGCTGCTGTGAGCAAGAGTGCAGCCTGTGCACCTTGGAATCATGTGGGAGCACATAAGCATAAGCAGAGCCAGCTCCATGAGCATCCCTCAGCAACAACATAGGCATGAAATAGTAGCAAGTGCATTAGCAACTCAGCAAAAAGCCCCTAGGCTTTGGTAGCAAGGCCTTGGACATGCAACACCAGAGACAACATGCACAGCAGCAGCACAACCACTGGCTTAATTAGAAAGAAAGAGTGTTTAGTACTAATTAATTTTCTTCATTACTTTAAGTAATCCAAGTTTCAATTTCTAGTTTCGGTTCAAGTTTAGTTAGATGTTTTTGTTTACTTTAAGATTTTTAATTTACTTTTGAGATGTTTTTGTTTACTTTAAGTATTCTTTATTTACTTTTATAAAAAATGATCAATTACGTTTACTGGTTGTTCTTACTATATAATAGCCTATTAGCTCAATCAGTAGAGCATTGTGCGATTACAAAAAAGATGTGGGTTCGAGTCCCACGTAGATTATTTATTAAATAATTATTTTTTTATTTACTCTTTGAGCTTTTTTTTTTTTTTATTTACATTTAGAATATTTTTATTTACTTTTTATTATTTTTTATCTAATTTTGACATATGATGCATAGTGCTCTACCCTTATGCAAATGATATTAAAGGAGTTAATCAGTCAAGTGAGGCATGGATCATATTTGCATGACAATTGATTCTTATCCAACTACAAAGTAGTCAGACAGTACAACTGCTTATCTCCCATGGCATAGAACCTGTGAGTGAGTTTTTAGACAATTGAAGTTGCTGCCACAACACCAACTTCCCCAATTCACAAGGACATATTGTTAGCTGATAAGCATAATCAACGCCGAATAGTTAGAAATCTCAGATGGAATACTACCTATCAGAGTATATCCCCATAGAAGTAAGCTATCCATCTTCCTAATCCTTCCTAAATGAGGAGGAATTGCTCTAGTCATCCTATTCATATGCTAATACAAATTCGTATATACACCTTTGAGATATATCTACTTAGTAAAAAAAAATTATTTTGAGTAAATATTAATTACTTTTGAGTTAACAAATTATTCTCACTCTATAATAGACTACTAGCTCAATAAGTAGAGCATTGTGCAAGTGCACAAAAGATGTGGGTTTGAATCCCACGTAGGTTCTTCTTACACTTCGAACCATTGAATTGTAAATATTATTTTTATATTTACTTTTGAGTTTTTCTATTTTACTTTTTAATAAATATTATTTACTTTAAATTTGATATTATTATTTAATTTCTTCAACGATATTTTGATTAACATTTTTAGCATTATTTATTTACTTTAGAGTAATTATGATTTACTGATGACATATTTTGTTCTACTTTTGATTTCTTTTTAGAGTTATTTTGATTTACTTTTTTAGTTTTTCTAATTACTTTTAAGAGATTTTGATTTACTTTTGAGGTATTTTGAATAACTTTAGAGTGTTTTATATTTAACTTTTAAGATAACCTAAATAAGATTCGAACCTACACCTCTCTGCATCCCCATAGTGCTCTACCACTTGAGCTAATAGGTTTACTTTAAAGTCAATTTTTATTCACTTCAAACTCTTTTTTACTTACTTTTTTCACATCAAAAACTCACTTTCTTCCTTACAGAATATCCATATTGAGGAGGTGGTGGAGCTCACACATGTACCTCAAGAGTTGGTTAATTGATTATTGCACAACACTCAAAGCATTGAGAATTGATAGATACCAGAATCTAATTTTCTTGCTGAAGAGCTTGTCAAAACTGATTTTTCTTAATTAAGGTGTTGCCGATATGAAGGTGTTTTTACCCAGTCTCAACAATCTAATCTTGTTGCGTGAGCTTGATATCTTCAATACTGAAGGTTTTACGGGCGCACTAATTTATCATTCACACACATACTTTTTTATTAAAAGAGCTTAAGATTCAAAGAATGAGCTAAGAGCCAAAGAGGTTAGCTGACCTGATGCGGTATCCAAATAGCTATTCTCACCGGATATATATATATATATATATGTATACATATATGTGTGTGTGTATACATACATGTGTGTGTATACATACATGTATATATATATACATGTATATATACATACATACATGTATATATATATACATGTATATATATATATATACATGTATGTATGTATATATATGTATATGTATATATATATACATACATGTATATATATATACATGTATGTATATATATATATACATGTATGTATGTATATATATACATGTATATATATATATATATATATATATATATATATATAGAAATGGGATCATGTGAGAACTCATGGCTTAGGTGAGAACCAAGTTAAAACGAGAACCAATCTAAGACCATTCATTTTATTAGATGAATGGTTCAGATTTATTGGTAACAATAGTGGGAATTCACGTGGGCCAACTTGAAAAATGTAATGATTGTTTGTAATTTTTTTTTTTTTTTTGTGCATTGGAAGACGTTGTATTCCATTGGAATATATTCTGTCAGTCTATTGGAAGACGTTATCTCAGCCATTGGAATACATTCTTTCTGAAAATATTATCAAAGGTTAGAGCTCATTTTTTTTTCCTGTAGTTATATTAAGCATGGATTTGTATGTTGAATGTGGTACGTCTAATGTTGTTCATGTTTGTACCCCTGCTGGAACGAAGATATGGATTCCATGTTGTGATAGTGAAATTAGACCAACTATAGGTAAGAAATTTTCAAAACTTGATGAAGGTTTGCGTTTTTATTTGTCCTACGCAGCTGTTGTAGGATTTATTACTAGAAAGTCGACGGTCAAAAAAAGAAAAAATGGTATTATTTCTTTTCAAATTATTGTATGTAATAAAGCTGGGTTTAAAGAAAAACGAAATAATGTGGTGACAAAGAAAGTTGATAGTATCGGGGAAGAAGATGATCATTTTATAGGTGATATGAATGTTGAAGAAGTGGTTGTTGGTCAAGATAAAGAAGACTATGATTGTCAAGAAGCGAATACTCCTATGGTTAAAAGAAGATTGTCTACTCGAGTTGGTTGTAAGGCAAAGATGATTTTAAAGTATTGCGAAAATGGAGGTTACATTGTTTCTAATTTTGAAGAAGGGCATACTCATCATATGTATTCATCCGAGAACTCTCATTTTCAGAAGTCCAAAAGAAAGCTGACAATGTTTCATAAGAAAATGATAATTGATAATTCAAAGGTATTTGAATATGGTTTTGTTTAAAATGATTAAATTTTAAATGTGAAGTAAAAATTGTGTACATATATGAAACATTAGTACTGTAATATGAAATATATATTGTTTTGGATGGAACAATGGTATTTGAATATGATTTTGTTTAAAATGATTAAATTTTAAATGTGAAGTAACAATTGTGTACATATATGACACATTAGTATTGTAATATGAAATATATATTGTTTTGGATGGAACAATTGTTTGTAATGTATGTACTCAAGTAGGTGTAAGTACAATTGTATGGAACAATGGTTTTGATAAGTGGAACAATAGTACGTATAATTGAAACATAGTTGGAGCGATTGGTTGTAAAGGTTTAATATTAACAGTTATAATAACAAATGTAACAATAGGGTAATGCGGAGGAACAATAGGTCAGATATATGGTACAATAAAGTGCATTTTTGTTTCATATCACTTCCTTCATCATCGAATTTCGCACTATACATCAAGAATAACGTGTACCGTTATTTGTAATTAAATATGTGCCTTTTTGTTTTTTGTACACATCTATATTTAGAATCTTTGAAATCTTTTTTGCCTTTTTTTTCATAAAATTAAATATGCACTGTTAGATCTGTTTCCATATATAGCATGGTCCTCAAACAGTCTAGTGTTTTTACATTCTGTTTCATATACTTATTTTGTTGCTCCACAGGTGAATATTGGTCATGTCAAGACATACAGAATGGTGAAGGAATATGTTGGTGGGTATGAGAATATAGGTGATAGTAGGAATGACTTCAAAAATTTTCATAGAGATTTGAAGGCGTATATTGAAGGATCGGACGCCCAGATGTTTGTTGATAATTTTAAGAGGAAAAAGTTGATGTGGTCGGCTTATTTTTTTTATTACGAAATGGATGAAGACGACTGCCTATGTAGAGCTTTATGGGCAGATCCTATTTGCCGGAGAAATTATGTCGTATTTGGTGATATGCTCTCGTTTGATACAACCTACCAAAGCAACAGGTATCATAGTGTTATTTTTAAAGTTTTTTGAATTTTTTTTTGGTGTTACAATTTGATGTAACATTTGTTTAAATTTTTGGACCATTGGAATAATATTACGAAACAGTAGACATAAATATCGGAATCGTAATTTCAGCGTATGTTTCATGTTTTCCAAATATAATATGGTGTTTGGTCCATTCACGGGAGTCGATCACCACAAGAAATGTGTCACTTTTGCTGTTGGTTACATTGCAAAGGAAGATGTTGCTTCATTCCAATGGCTATTTAGAACATTTGTTAAGGCAATGGGCGGTAGGGAGTCCAATTGTTTAATTACGGATCAAGATCCAGCTATGAAAATTGCTGTAAATTCTGTTTTCCAGCAATGTGAGCACAAGTATTTATTTTATTGTACTGCAACTATAATGATTCATTTGTGAATACTATTGTTTCAATATATGTGTCTGATGTTTCATATTAGTTTATTGATGTTTCCAGCTGTTGTTATGATGTTAAATATTATTATTCTGAATTTTTAAAAAAAAAATTCTTGTTCCTAAATAGTGTTTTATTGTTTCAAATTTATGTTTGATGTTCCATTAGGTTAACCAATTTTTACGAGAATTTGCCTAATTATTCCAATTATTTATTTTATTATTTCAAATCTTCAAGATAATGTTCCGGAATTTTACTATAATGTTACAGTATTAAAAGCTAATGTTCCTAAATAGTGGTCTAATGTCCCATAATTAATGTCCTTCGGATTTTGTATGAGGCACATAATGATTCATTTGTGAATACTTTTGTTTCAAAATATGTGTCTGATGTTTCATATTAGTTTATTGATGTTTCCAGCTGTTGTTATGATGTTAAATATTATTATTTTTAATTTTAAAAAAAAAATTATTGTTCCTAAATAGTGTTTTATTGTTTCAAATTTATGTTTTGATGTTCCATTAGGTTAATCAATTGTTACGATAATTCGCCTAGTTATTCCAATTATTTATTTTATTATTTCAAATCTTCAAGATGATATTCCGGAATTTTACTATAATGTTACAATATTAAAAGCTAATGTTTATAAATAGTGGTCTAATGTCCCATAATTAATGTCCTTCGAATTTTGTATGTGGCACATAATGAAAAGCTGCCTGATAAAGTTGGAAGGAATATCATTCAGGATACTGAATATTTAAAGGAACTCAGTAAGTGTGTTTGGAATTTAGAAATTGAGGCTCCTGAATTTGAAGAGAAGTGGAACAATGTTCTTGTTGAGTTTAAATTACAAGACCATGATTGGTTGAATTTGATGTTTGAGATGAGATCTATGTGGATTCCAGCGTATTTTAGAGATGTGTTTATGGGTGGTATTATGAGAACTACCTTAAGGTCAGAGAGTGAGAATAATTTTTTTACATCCGTTGTAAATCCTCACGTGTCTCTTGTGGAGTTTTTCATGAGGTATGAAACTGCGTTGGATGCACAGAGACATAGTCAGGCAGAGAATGACAATGAATCATAGGGGAAATTCCCTCAATGTAAGACAGAATTGTTGATTGATAGGCATGGTTCTGAGGTGTACACCGTTTCTGTATTTTATGAATTTCAAGATGAAGTTCATAGTGCTTTTTATTCTTGTGTGTAGATGAATTGAGGAAGGAAGATGGTATTGATGTAGAAATTGTTACTAAGGCAAATAGGAGAAGGAAATTTAAAGTTTTGTTTGAGTGCTTTAGTTATGACACTACCTGCTCTTATAAGAAGTTTTATAGGATAGGAATCCCATGCAGACATATGATATGGATGTGGAAGGCAAAGAATTTAAAAAGCATTCCAAAGCAATATATCTTAGATCGTTGGACAATAAATGCTACTCAGAAACCAGTGTTAGATATAAGTTGTTTAGACACCGAATATGATAGGAGGGTGGTTATAAATGAAATGTGGTCGGAGATATTTTCTTGTGTGAGTTGGGTTAAAGGTCATGAGGAGGACTTTATTAAGAATATTCGAGAGTTCAAGAATAAAATTGTAGCGACAAAAAATGTTACTGTAGTTGATACTCAGAATGTAAGATCTAGTGAACATGATATTGAGATGTTAATAGGATGTAGCATTCCTGATGAAATACTTGTTCAGCCTCCTAAAGTGTCGAAGAATAAAGGTACAGGTGTTCATGATGGCTGTGGAACTAGTGGGTCTAAAAGATTAAAGGGTGCCAAAGAAATAGCAGTTGAACAATCTAAAAAGAAAACGAAGAGGAAATGCAGTGGCTGTGGCGAGCTAGCATATCATGATACTCGGAATTGTCCTCACAAAGCATGATAATTTGTGCAGCTGTTGTTCCTTCTTATGGGAATGTTTTACTCATTTTTATGTTTGTTGTAATGGAACAATTAGTTACATTTGAGAAACATCGGTTTTAATATATGTTACAACTGTTGTTGTAAACGAAACATTACAATTAATGTTTCGGAAACGTCAGTTTTAATACAATGTTTTATATTGCATCTTTGAAAAATTAATATAATTAGTTACATGGAACAATAAGTTACATTTGGGAAACATCACTTTTAACATATGTTACAACTGTTAATGGTCATGGAACATTGCAACTAATGTTTTGGAAGCATCAATTTTAAGAAACATTAGTTCTAGTATATGTAACAATTGTTTCATTTAAGGGAACAGTAGGAACATTATCTGAAACATTAAGATTCGTTTTATCATGTTTTATATAAAAAAGTTACGGAGTATATAATATTTTTCAGAAAGTGTGCAAATTGATTTTATGTGGCAGCGTGTATTGATTTGACTAGTCATCTTTTTTTAAAAGCACTGGCGTGGTATTGTTGCTTTGGGAACATATTTATGGTAAAGTTTAAAAGCAACCTTACACTTGTCAGTTTCATGTAGAAACGTGTTCAGTTGTGACAATGCATGGTTTAAATTTATTTCTTACCGTTGACAATGCATGTTGTGACATTGTTTCATATTGTTTCATATTACCTAACCGTTGTTTCATTTTATATATTTATAGTTTCATTTAATACTTCTAATTATGGGAAAATGATCCAGAACATGTTTAGCTAAACCTATAATGACATTGTTTCATATTACCTAACCGTTGTTTCATTTTATATATTTATAATTTCATTTAATACTTCTAATGTTTCATATTAATAGTTCACAATTGACAATAATGTATGCACATCTTTACATACGAAGAAGGAACTGTTCAGATATTAATAGAAAATCATTAGACGAAACATAAAAAGATGTTTAGCTAAATTATCCAGAACATGCATAAAAATTATGTATCTTACAACTAATGTGGAAACATTCATAAACATTGTTTACTAATTAACATGACGAAGCTACTCTAATGCCCAGGTCTTTGATTTGCCTATAATTTCATCTTGTAGTACGTTTGCAGGGCTTGTCAATATTTTCCCACAATACTCAATCCTCAGCTTCTTCATTATATCAGGCTGAAATATATTAACAATTCAAAATAAATACCGGAACAATGAACCATAAATTATGTATAAATTAATATAAGAATTACACAAAAACTTACATCTTTTGGATTGAATCCAATATCCCAACATTCATCTAGCTACCCCATGTAAGTTTCCATGTGTTTGAGAGTGTATACACCGCAGTCATTATAATTGTCATTATTTTTCCATCTCATTTCCTTCATAGTGGTATTGAATCTAGACACTGCCCGTCCATTCCCAACTTTCTTTTCATTTAGTAATTTAGCAAATGCCTTGATCTGTATAATATGAAACAATTAGATGTACCAAGGAACAATGAAACAACAAATATATACAATGAAACAATTGATATATAATATGAAACAGCGTAAATGAAAAATGAAACATCAGATGTATGAAACATATGCTATCTAACAAATATAAATATGAAATAACTTATATATGTATAATGAAACATATTTTATTTAATATGAATCAGCAGTAATGAAAAAATGGAACATCAAATGTATTATTTGAAACAATATATACATATATTGAAACAAATTCTATATAATAAGAAACATCAGAAATCAACAATGAAACACCAGATATACTAATTGAAACAACAAAAAATAAAAATGGAATACCAGTGATGTTTAGTGAAACAGTGTTATATTTTTACCATGGTAGCTGGGAAATTGTCGTACTTTGCATCCATTTCAACACCTTCTTCTAGAAATCTGTTGCCTATAATTTGCATTTGCTTGCGTGAAAAATTCAAACAGAACAGATAATAGTGTTCAAATGCTGGGACGAGAAAGAAAACCTATAATGAAACAATAAGTAAGTTATATGTAATATTAAGTATGTCTTATTGAGCAAATATATATGCTATGAACCAGTACTAGTTTAGTATCTAACCAAATCTACTTTGTCAAAAGTAGTTATTTTAGAATGCTTCATCTCGTCCACCATCCTGCTCTTGAAAGCGTTGTATCTCTCTGCAAACTTGGTATTTGGCGTAAAGTACTTGTTACCGCACAGCATATTCTGTTTTTTTCCAGGTAATTAATCATTGTTATAGTTGTTAGTGTATCAGAAATATTATAATTGTTAGTGTATCAATATTATGAAACTGAAATATTTTATACAGAGCATAATATATTAAAAATGAAACATTGGCACTATATAGTGGAACATTTATTGTCAATTGAAACAATGGAATATGTTAATGAAACAAATTATATGATAAATGAAACATTAGAGCTTAAAAGTGAAACAGTTAAATAATTTTAGACATAATTACCCAACATTCAGAGGTGTAGAAAAAACGGTTGATAGCGCCTGGTTGCCTTCTTTTGTTTGCCATGTTAAGGATGTGGCCCCAGGAGTCTATTATATTGTTGACCACATAGTTGTCACCTTGTAGTCCTAAAATGTCTTCCCTACTGATGAAGTTAAGCCCGTCATTGTACAGCTGCTCACTAAAATTGATGGGACAGCAAAACAATTGAATGAAACAATATGTATATAATATGAAACAATATAATATTGTATATACTATGAAACAATATGTATATAATATGAAACAAAGCATTCCAGAAAATTCTCACGATTTTGGGCCTGCACAAAAGGCATATTCGGCGACTGTTCTTTGTAGGGCATCAATTTTTGCTGAAATTTTTTCATTCTGCACCATGAATGGGGATCGAAGGTGCACAGGAAGATTTTGTGTGATTCTTTTTTCTCTTTGCATACCAGTCACTGGCTTCTCACAATGTTCCCTTGCTATCTTATGAACGATGGATTCAGTGAGTGACTCCAACTGCTGATCCGTTGGAGATTCTTCCTGCTCTAGTGACATTAATTTTGCTTGGGGTGTTGGAGGCAACGCCTGTGAACCTACAAACAGATTATAGTTTGGCTGGGATTCAGATAATGGAACAATGTCTTGAACGGATTCATTGTGGGGTGTAGCTTGTGGGGTTACAACATTCTCAGGGGGGGTTCATCTTGTTGTTTGTCTTTGGCCTGAAAATTTACCCATGCTTTGTTCATCACATCACTGAGCTCAGATAAAAACGCTGGCTCATGAAATAAGTTCTCATCTTAAGATAGAAAACCCTGGGTCTTGATTCCTTGTTGACTCATAGTGGGCTGTACTGATGTGTACTTGCCCCGTACATTTCTAATGAGCTCCTTCATCTCATCTGGGATCTCCACCTCCTCAATCAATTTGTATCCCTTGTCAATCAGTGCATACATTGACTGGACATGGCCAGCAAGTTCCTTGGAAATGTTGTTGAATTCATCAAGTATAAATCCCTATAACAAACCAACAACGTTTCAAATTCCAGTATTATAAACAATGAAACACGTGATATAAAATATGAAACAGCATGTAGCCAATATGAAACATCAGATTTATTATATGAAACAGCGTACACAAAACATGAAACAGCCGAAATATATTAAGAAACAATAATGTCATGAACACGGAAACAATAGGCATATAAAATGAAACAACATACATCTAAAATTTATTGTGAAACAGTGTACACCTAAATTGATACAGCTGAAATATATTATGAAACAATATACATCAGAAATCACATATTTTAAATATGTAACAGCATATATTCAACATGAAACAACAATTAATGAGAAGTGAGATTTATTACATGAAACAGTAGGCATTCAATATGAAACATCAAATTTATTATACGAAACAATATGTATATAAAATGAAACAATAGGCATATAAAATGAAATAACATATGATTAGGGGATTTTGCTCCCACCAATCGGAATGCGCCACGTGGGCCAATCAGGTCCTGCCAAGTGTCCCCCAGTTGGACATCTCAGGGCTTGCCACGTGGCACACGCTTATTCGTCCACCCTGGACTTATTATGTCATGACACGTGGCATACTCCATGCCTAATGGAGAAGCCGGTCACCTAGGCCCAATTTCCGAGGGAAGCCCAATCAGCCCAAGGTTAACCTAAACCTAGTTTGGCACGTTTCCCGAGGTTATAAATACCTCCCTTAATCCTCATTAAGGGAGATGATGCGAACAACGCAGATTACACACATTAAACACTCTCACCTAGAGAGACCCAATCACTTTAATTTCCGCATTAATTACTCCTTAATCAAGTACTAACTTGACCGTCGGAGGCGGATCTCCAACCATCCGGAGCATCCGTTTGTTTTGTAGGTACAGGCGTCCGGTTCCAGTCTCGGAATTGTAACTCTCCCGCAGGACATCAGAAAACCCCGAAACATTTTGGCGCCGTCTGTGGGGAGAGTACTTCTGAGATGGCACCCACGTTTGTACCGGCTCCTGAAGAGAGACGTCCCCTAGACGATCCTCTAGTTCAGTCGGACCACGATAGTGAGAATGAATTTGAAGTTGAAGCTCACACAGCTTCAGACGGGACCCTAAGGGCCCGACGTACCCGTCATACCAAAAGGAGGGAACGGGAACATCTTCAAACTGGAAGCGAGCCAGCAGGCGTACCGCCTGTTCGGCAGCAGCCGACTGATGGGTCTGCTCCCATCACAAGGAACGAACTCATGACCTTCATGAGGGACTTCAAGGGAGAAATTCAAGAGTTGATCAACAAGAAGCCGCCTGCTCTGGACAAGGAGAAGTCGGCTAAGCAACCCTCCACTTCACGGAAGAGGAAGCCAGTTCAAGGGCGAGAGGCGACCCCTCATCCTAAATCTAGGAAGTGGGAGCCACCTGCCCTTGATTTCACAAAATACCGTTTTCCTACTCCAGGAAATAGGAAACCTGTTCGTCATATTCAGGCGGACGGGTCGAGGAAAACATACACAGA